GCTTCAGAAGCAACGGTTTCGGAGGCCGAGGTGCATTCGACGATGAAGTCTGCCAAGGCTTGAGCTCGAATTGATGACCTCTGCTGAAATGTTATCTGAAATTCCCCCAACACCACTGCCCATTTGATAAGTCTTCCCGAGCATTCTGGCTTTTGCAAGATCTGCCTGAGGGGTTGGTCGGTTAACACCACAATGGGGTGAGCTTGAAAATAGGGTCTCAATTTTCGTGCCGTGGTGACCACTGTTAAAGCTGCTTTTTCTGCAGTGGAGTACCGCAGCTCAGCTCCTTGTAGAACCCTGCTGGCATAGTAAACCGGCTTCTGCTGTTTGTCTGCCTCTCTGATTAAGACCGAGCTTACTGCCGCGTCTGAGATTCCGAGATAGAGGTAAAGGATTTCGCCTTTCATGGCCTTGGTTAGCAGAGGTGGTGAACTGAGGTAGGACTTAAGGTCATTGAAGGCGGTTTGGCACTCTGAGGTCCATTCGAACTTCTTAAGTTTCCCTGTTTCATCTTTATGGGCCACGGATCTCAGGATTTTGAAGAAAGGTAAACATTTTTCTGCAGACTTCGACACAAACCTGTGCAGAGCTCCAATTCTCCCAGCTAGGCGCTGCACATCCTTAATCGATTTCGGGGGCTTCATCTCTTCTATCGCCTTGATTTTCTCAGGGTTGACTTCGATCCCTCTCCTGGAGACCATGAACCCAAGGAATTTACCGGATTCGACACCAAAGACGCACTTGGCTGGGTTCAATCTCATGCGGTGTGTTCTGAGGTTGTTGAATGTTTCTGCCAAGTCAGTTAGGTGGTCCTCTGCCTTGAGGCTTTTGACTACTATGTCGTCAACGTAGACTTCGAGATTTCTGCCGATCTGAGCTCGAAACACAATCGTCACCATCTTCTGGTATGTGGCCCCGGTGTTCTTGAGCCCGAACGGCATCATTACATAGCAATAGATCTCGTTGCCTGCATAGAAAGAGGTCTTTACCTCGTCCTCGGGGGCCATGTGGACCTGGTGATACCTTGAGTAAGCATCCAAAAGGCTAAGTCGTTCATTTCCGGACGCGGATTCCACCAGCCTATCTATACTCGACAGGGGATGGCAGTCCTTGGGACAAGCGTCATTCAGATTCGTGTAGTCAACGCACATTCTCCATTGGCCATTTGACTTCTTGACTAGAACGGGATTGGCAACCCATTCGCAGTAGTCTACCCTCCTTACAAACCCGGCTTGCAGGAGTTTCTGTACCTCTGCCTTGATGGTTTCCAATCGCTTTCCGCCGAACAGGCGTCTTTTCTGGGCTACGGGCTTCTTCGAGGGGTGAGTGCTTAACTTGTGGACCGCAATCGAGGTGGGTATGCCGGGCATATCAGCTGAGGTCCAAGCAAACACGTCTCTGTTTGATTTGAGGAAGTCAATGAGCTCTGCTCGGTCTTTGGAGCTCAGCTTGGTGCCGATCTTCGTCTTTTTAGTGGGATCATTGCTGTCAAGCTGCACCTCTTCCACCTCTTCTGCCGGAGTGGCCCTGGCTTCGTCATCAGGTCTGTTATCCAGCAGTTCCACACCCATTACTTGCTGCGTGGGTGGGACTTCGGGTTGAGTTGGCTCTGGGTTTGGTACTTGTTTGTCCTTCCGGGGTCGGGAGACCGAAGTCACGTAGCAGTGCCGGGCTATCTCTTGATTTCCGCTCAACGTCGCCACACCGTGAGGGTAGGAAATTTAAGGCAGAGGTGGGATGGTGAGACAACTGCCCTAATTTCAGTCAGGGTTGGCCTTCCGATGACGATGTTAAAGGATGACGCCATCTTTACTACCAAAAATCGGATTGAGGGGGTTACATAGGCTCGACCTGAGCCAAATGCTACATTAAGTTTGAGGATTCCTTCCACAGGCACTGGCTGATTGTTGAAGCCGTAGATGGGGCCGTCATACTTTTGTAGAAGGGCAGGATCGAGGCCAAGGCTTTCGAAGCAGTGGTAGTACATGATGTCCGGAGCACTTCTTGTGTCTACAAGGATGCGCTGAACTTCGCAATTATTGACTATGACCGAGGTGACCAACGGGTCATTGTGTGGTGTGATGACACCATCAAAATCAGCGGAGCTGAATGTTATGGGTTGGTTCTTCCAATCTGCCTCGTCAAATTTCCTTTTTTGAGCTGGGTTGGGATGCTTCACCTCTCGCACATACAGCTTCTGCTGCTTTGAGCTCGTCCCTCCGGCTTCCAACCCTCCTGTTATCATATGAATGATGCGCGAGGGCGGAGGGAGCGGGGGCGGTGCTTGTTGATATCCGACTCCAAGTCGGTTGTTTGCATCTCGGGATGATTGGGGTCGCCCCTGCTCCCGGACGAATTTGAGTTGGTCTCTGTTAGAAATGTACTCGTTTAGCAACCCTTTCCGAGCTAAACCCTCAAGCTCGGACTTCAAGCTATTGCATTCCTCCGTGATGTGCCCGTGATCCTGGTGGAAATCACAATATCTACTCTGATCTCTTGAGGCGGGTGAGCTTCGCATAGGAAGAGGCCTTCTGAGCTCCATTTTATTTTTGATCTGCATTAAGATCTGCGACCTCGGCAGGTTAAACGGAGTCCAGGCAACTTGCTTCGTCATGGGCTGCGGGGTAGGTACTGGAGGTCTGTCTAGTTTAGGTGGGAAGGGACCTCGGTATTGTGTAGGCTTAAATCTCTTCTGGTTCCGTGGTTCATCTCTCCAGGTCGGAGGTCTTACCTCCTTATTTGGGGCTGGCTTGGCAGACAAAGCATATTCTTCGGCTTTGATAAACTTCTAGGATCTTTCATTGGCCTCATCAAACGTGGAAGGGGCATGCTTTATGAGGCTATCCCGAAACCTGTCATGCTTGAGGCCTTGGGTTAGTGCAGCTAACCCGACAGCTTGGCTAAATGAGCCAATTTCCAGCACTGCATCATTAAATCTGTTCATGTAGTTTTTTAAGGACTCCCCTTCTCTCTGGGCCACCCGCATGAGCTCGGATGTTGTTTTCTTGATCAG